ATGTTGAGATCTAATTTCTTCTAGTTCTTCTTTCTACGCATGTGAAAAAAAAATGTTGCATTGTTGGAACACATTCTAATTCAAGAACTCACCAACGGAACAAATGAACTAGATGCAGTGGATTTTGAGAAAGATCTGATCTACCTCATTCTTTCGAATTCTCTACCTTCTAGTATCCTAGTTGATACATATTCTTCTGCTTTTGGTGTTGGTCTTTTGTTAGAATATCCAAACCTATTAGTAGAGATTTCGAGCCCAATAAAGAACCAGATATAATGTCCACATGGCTCAACCTGGATGACATTTAAAGAAGGAAGGAACCCATAATATAAATAACTGAACTGGAAGGCCTGGAAGCCACAACCCTATACAAGCTCATGAGTGGTTCATAAGCGCACAGTAAAAAACCGGAAAGCGACCTAGAACTTATATACTGTAGGCTAGCTTCATTCGATTGTTGTTCAAGCTTGGAACCCAAGAGCGAGCCCGAGGAAAAATTCTCTAAAAAGCTCATATCAGTTCAAATTTAGGATGTTGCGACAATGAAGGCAATATAAAAATGGAAGTATTTTAGAAATATCAAGGGACTAATCAACCCAATTAATTCAATTGCGACCTATAAATATAGAACCCTTAAACAACTAAAAGGAGGACTCCTTGGAGAATCATTCGGGATAAAATAATATTTTGTGTCTATAACTTTTTTATATGTAAAATTCATAACATACAAAAATAAAGAGAAATATAGGGATGGTGTACCTTATTAACCTTGGTGATGTTTTAACCCACAAATAGTATTTACATCTCAGTGGTCGGATCCGATGTCCATGACATATTATATATACATGTTCAATTTGATAATTCATATATATGTCAAACAGATACAATCATAATAGAAAATTAATTAAAAAATAAAAATTAGAAATGATGAGAAAGAATCTAAAATAAGCAAAACATCAAAATTCAATGATCATTTAAGTAAGAGGAGGGATGTCACCAAAGTGATATAAGGGGGAAAAAGGTATCAAACTTTTTATTTCTTTGCTTCTAGATATACTAACTGAAAGCTTAGAAAACACGATCACACAATATTCATTTAAATTTGTTAAACAGTTACAAGTTGTTGCCATGCCATTGTATATCATTTACATTTTGAAGATTCCTGCTTATGAGAAAAAACTGAAAACCGTAAATGACATATAAATAGCGAATAAGTTTTTCATGCCCATGCATTATGCCATGGCAATCTTTATTTAGAATCATCTCTCTTACTATAAATCAAAGCAACACAAGTTATCATTAAATAGATCATAATACAACTAAATAAAAGTTCAATAAGATTATATTTTTTAGTTTTTAGTTTTTTAAGAAACAATGGCTGCATCCAAAAAGAGCCTTACATGTTTCTTCTTTGTTTCGATAATGATTATGTTATCATTCTTCAGTGTATCAGGAGTAGAAGGAAATTTTTTAGGATATGGAGCTATTGCAAAAGATAGAATCCCTGCATGTGGCAGTAAAAATCCTAAAGAATGTGTTAAAGAACTTGTTAATCCTTATCGTCGTGGTTGTCAAGATTCTACACGTTGTCACCGTGATGTCTAAATCATACGATGTCTAAATTATTTGTTTTATATCAAATATGAAGATATGTTATGTTATTAATAATTATTATTGATGTCAAATGTTATCGTCAAACATATATGTATATCTGTATTTAATAAAATCCAAACTAATGTTTTATCTTGTATAGCTTAATCTTCTTGTAAAGAAGTTGCAAAAACTCATAACCTATACATACTAGTAATAAAAAATACCTATAACCACTTGGCAGTTACGAAAATTCTCGGCTATAAAGAGATTTTTTTTTAAAAAGCCACGAATTATTTAAACTACGACACTATATCCACGGATATTAAGGCACAACCACGAATATTCAAGTGACTATAGAGATTTGTTTTACTAGTATATAGGTTTTATGTCTACAAATTTAACAAATGGTACTTAACCTAGAAATAGATATAGAAATTTGAGCAAGTCATTTAATTTACAAATAAACATTGA